TGGACAAGTTACAAAACGCCACAAATGAACAAACAAATAAGATAAAGATGAAAAAAAGTAGCCACCACGTATTTCCCAACGCCTGAACGAACTCCTCACTTTGGAAATGTCGCTGTCGAAAATGAAATCAATACGAAATCCACTTTTCATTATGCATTGTTACCAAATTAGGCGCTGACCGCTGATAAGCGGTGGGTCGCTCGTTAATGATTTATAGTTGCCAAATCAGCGGACAGCAGGCGATCAAATAAATATGCTGGCGATAAACAACGCAGACACGCAATCGAATCGCCGGACACGGATCGAATCCAATTAATATGCAACAATTTCCAGCTGAGCTCCGATCCGCTGCGAATTGCATTAGCATAAGGAGGAAGAGAAGAAACGACTCTAAAACGGGCTTTAATTCAAGCTGAAATGCTAGCCGACGTGGAAGGTTCTAGCCGAAGACACGCAGCGTCTTAAAGTCTTAAAGTTGGGAACTTGGAATAAAAAAAAGCAGGCGATAAAAAGTCAATAAAACCAGTTAAGGTCAGGCTCGCCGCCGCTGCTTGTGTAATCAACATGTTTGCTGCAGATGCTAAATACATTTTTATTTATGAATAATGTGATGTGCTGACGCCAATGTTGATGCTGATGCCGATGCTGATCACGTTGCCGCCACAATAAAAATGAAAATGAAAATAATAAAGTCTCAAGTGTCGTCGATCGGCGATTCCATCGCTTTTGGTAGTCACTGTGGCACTGTGTCAGTGGCCGCCGGGGGCAACCGGTTGCGCATCCTTGACATAAAAAGCGATCTCGATCTGGCACCATCGGCGACCAGCTTACATCTTTCGGATCGGATCGGTTCGAAAGACCAATGCGAGCTGGAAATTTATACGAAATTGCGTATACGCAATGTGGCTCTGAGCTGAGGTGGCGAACAAAAGGGCGCGGCGGCGTCTTTATCGCCCGATAATCGTGTACAAATTTATGTTAATGACAACGTGTTAACAATTTGCATATCTATATCTGTTTTTTGTACCTGTGACTTGCCAAATCGCACATTGAATGGTCTTTAGTCTTACCTGTTTTTTTCTCTCTCTTCTCTTTTTGGCCTGCAGATGAAAGTCACCCTGGCAATAGCGACTTTCTGCGTGGTGATGGCCTGCAGCCATGCTGCCAGAACCACCACCACCACAGCGACCAAGCCGGGTCGCTTCCTCTCACTGCCCGTGCCCGCCAAATGCGCCAGCCGTAAGTATTTCTCATCTAATATCATTATCCCCAAGCCATACCTAAACCATACCCATACATAAAACCTATTCCCACCATGGCGAAAAGTAAAAGTGACGAATGCGGCGAGAATATTAAGCGGTTGCTTCGGCGCTGCGATTGCCAAGTTTGCACTTGAAATTGTTTGGCAATGCGACGTGTGGGTGTAACCACAACAACCGAGGGGTTTTTGCTGAAGGTCGCTGAGTTTATAGCTTCAACTCACTTTCTTTGCCCGCCTTTTTCGTAAACAAATTCCATTTGTTAAATTATATGTATCAAAAAGTATTAAAAAACTAGAGAACATGTTGTATTTCTTTGATTTAATGTGAGAAATATACAAATTAAATTCTTTTATTTTTTTATTTAATTTATTTGATTTTTTAATGTATCAAAAATTATTAAAAATTATACTTATTTTTTCGATTCAATATTAAATACATTTTTTTTGTTTTATTTTATTTAATTTGGTAATTCATTTAAACCAAAAATCTAAAAACTCTTTACTAATAGTTTCCAGAAAACTTTAATCCAAAATAATATTTTTAATTTTAATAAGAGACTGCACAACAAGTACTTAAAAATACATTAAAGTTATTACCATAAAACATTAAACTGCACAGTAAAATAATAAAAATCCAATGGATTCTTTAGACATTTAATCAATTATCAGGTTATTTTCTAGGATCAAGTTTGTTGCTAAGCTTTTAATTGCAAAATCGAGAGGTGTTAATCTCTAAATAGTTCAGTTGAAGTGGGTTTTCCTCATACATTCTACCGATGATTGCCGCTGCCAGTCATCGCCTGAGATTACGAGCATTGCATCAGGGCCCAGAGTTCGGGCCAAAACGGGTGAAACGCCTGAACAATAGCATCATCGCTGCATATCCGGTACACTAATGAACACTTTGCAGTTATTGCTAATTAGACAAACCCTAACTCACACACACTTATATTCATACTTATGGCTAACACACACTTGGGGACGCGAGACTAAGCCAAAGCCGTTAAACATGCAACTTAATTTTGGGGCGTCACCGAGAGTTGCATATCCAGTTTTTATATATTTTGTTTTTGAGCCAGTGCCGTTCGTTGGCAGCGCGATTTAGATCTTTCATCTCTTAGAAATTTCCAGTTATACAAGCGCAACTTTTTTAGGTCTGTCTCCCAATAGTTAAGAGTTAAATCACCTGATTAACTATTCAGACTTAATTACCTTTTGTAGACAACTCTCCCAGGCGATAATTAAGATTCGAAAACGGTTCGGTTTTTCTAAGTCACTGCTGAAAGATGCCAATCGGGGAATGCAGTTCGGCCGGGATAATTATGCAAGTTTTTTTTTTTCGGTTTCGGTTAGGAAAATATACAGACGAGTTGGGGTTTTTAGCCATATATCTGTATTGATCGCCTTGACCCGCGCACAAAAGGGCCAGAAATGTGAGGAAATTGCAAGCGACAGCTAAGGCGGCAGCAAAATAAATAATAATGTGCAAACAATGGCAAATAAGGCCATTATGTTGGGGACTTAAGCTGATTTGACGCGAAGTATGGGCGAAGGCGGAGGCGTGGCAGTTGCAAAAGTGGCTTAAAGCGCGGCTAATGACGCGTGCCAACTGTGGCAACAGGCGGGTTTACCCCCTCTGTTTTTTTAAGGCGTGTCCCGGGGGCGGACATATCGCACATTGCGAAGAGGCAGCTAATCAAATGGAAGCTGGCAGCTCGCTCAGGCGAAACAAGTTCGAGGATGGAGTTGTTGGTCGAGGGGGAGGGGCTGGGGGTTCCCATTGTTCCTCGACGGACAAACAAACAAACCGACAAAAAAAAATAGCAAAGTAGCAAAAAAATAAACAGAAAACCTTTTGACACCCAAGACAAAAGGAAAGCGGCAGGCGCAAAAAGAAGCATGCTGCATAAATTGCGCAGATTGCGTAATACGCCGTTGCCACCGGGGAAGTTGTGTAAGGCCCGGGGCAGCTATACATATACATATATCTCTTTATTTTTGGCGCTACTTGCTTTCGGTTTCGTTTGTGCCCATCATGGGGCAGGCTGCGAGACATTGCACTGGGCCTCCCAGCTGAAAATGAAAATTGAGATGAAGATGAGACTGCAGCCGGGCGGAAAACCGGTTGCCACAGGCCACGCCCACACAGAGAAAAATATATGGAAAGAATTAGGCATTAATCAGGAATTATAGTAATTTTTGTTTAGCATTTTATGTAAATTATTTTTTTAATTTTCTATATATTTCGAATTAAAAGTTTTAAAAAATGGTAACTCTATTATATTGTTTAGAATTTTTTAAAAATGATTGTCTTAAGTTACAAACTTTTTTTGATAAAAAACGATTAATATTTTGGAATTTTTTGTAAATAATTTTTATATATTTTACATGTGTATAACGGATTAAAACCAATTTTGAAAAATGTTGACTCATGGGTAAACTTTTTACCTTATAATAGTGTTTAGAATTTTTTATAAATTATTGTCCTAAATTACAAACTTTTTTTGGATAAAAAATGTATTTAATACAAAAATACCTTAACAATTTACTATTTAATTAATGTTTTGGAATTAATTTTTTAAATAATCTTAGCTTGAGAGTTAGAAATTCCGAATAGAGACCCCAAAACCCAGACATCCTCACTCATAACTTTTTCCAGTGCAATCCTATAAATCACTCCCCACTCACCCCACCGACTTTCTCTTTGCTGACCCACAGGTCCTAAGGAGTTCTCCTACCGCGGCAAAAACATGTTCCTAACCAGCCACGTGCCCGCTTTGGCCAACAAGAAGGTCGACTGGCTGGATGGCCGCAATCTGTGCCGCGAGTACTGCATGGACCTGGTTGCCCTGGAGACCCAAGAGAAGAACAACCTGATCTTCCGCGTGATCCAGCAGAACGATGTGCCGTACATCTGGACGGCCGGACGTATCTGTGACTTCGCCGGCTGCGAGAACCGTCCCGATCTGGAGCCCAAGACCGTCTACGGATGGTTCTGGTCCGCAACCCGCGAGAAGATCCAGGCCACCAACCGCATCCCACAGGGATGGGGCTACAATCCCTGGTCGCAGACCGGTCACAAGAAGCGCCCGCAGCCCGACAACGCCGAATACGACATCAACCAGACCAAGGAGCAGTGCCTGTCCGTGCTGAACAACGTGTACAACGATGGCATCGCCTGGCACGACGTCGCCTGCTACCACGAGAAGCCCGTCATCTGCGAGGACAACGAGGAGCTGCTGCGCTATGTGGCGGCCACGAATCCCGGAATCCGTCTATAAAGCGGCTCGCTGGGCGTTCGCTGTGTTTGCCTAATTTTAAAGCTACTTATTATAATATTCCTTAAACGAGTTTTTGTATAATTTTTGTTTGTATGTGTACGACGAAAAACGGAAGAAAGCAAGACAAATAGACTTTAGAATTTACAAATTTCCGATCTTACCTTATACCACCTATAATACTGTCATCACACCCCCACTTCTCGTTTCGAAACTGCCAATTTTACGCGTAGAATTCCATTCCGTTGTAATCAATTGTGCCGTTTTCAGATCGCACTTTCCATATTTATAAGCAATCTTAAATTGCGAGTGTATCTCTGGCCCTCTCTGACTTTCATCCTAGCAAGAAATTCGGAATCTCTTTAGTATTTTTGTTTGAGACACTCATGTTTTGCCCACAAAGAGATTGAATAAAATTTTGTAAAGATCCCATAAAAAAAACTTAATTAATACTTTGGTTTTTATTGGTGACGCCTATTTGATCTGTGATCGTCTTGGGATGATTCTGAAGAGCTGCGATTTCTTTTAGAAGCTTCGCTACGATTTGATCGTCTTGAATCTCTATCCCTTCTTGACTTGGAATTTTTGAGAACTTGTCTGTTGTTAGAGTTCTTAATGCTGTTGCCCAAGTTATTGTGGTTTTCCAGCTCCACCTCAGGGCTTTCTGACCAGCGCCAGTTTCTGCCATGCTCGTTATGATCATCCCAACTAAAAAATAGATTGATTTAATACAATATCTTCATAAAAAATACATTAAAATAAAATCCTACCTGGGCGTTTTGGCCTTTGGAGTTTGGCTAGCGGGTCGTTCCCCTTTTGGAGTCGTTGTGTACTCCAGATTGGTGTTGAACAGGTTGTTCGGATTGCGAAACAAGTGCAGATAGCCACAGCCGTTACCTTTGGGACATTTACGTGTTAAGGACAAACCTTTAAAAAGCCATAGATTTTGATAAAGAAAATGGGATTAAAATATATATAGGGGCTTAGCAACTAAGTGAGTTTTTTGGTTTGTCAAAGGATACGGCTCTTCTGGGCATGCAGCTCACGTACCGCAGACTGCGCCACGCCAGGTCTTCAGATTGGAGAACTCCACGTTCAGGCGTTTGGAAGCGTAGTAGCGACCTTGGAGGTTGGTAAAAGCGCGAAGAGCGGATCTGAAAGACAATAAATTTAAGATCTTTAAACTATTGAGTTAAAGAAAAATCTTGAATCTTCAAGTGTCTTCAAGAATCAACAAAGTGTTTCGTATACAATTGTTAATCATATTTTTTGGTTTTAGAGACAATAAGTACTGATAATAATTGAAAATAATTTAAATATAAATATGTAGTTACTTTCACATGAAAATGTTTAACTATTGAGTTAAAGAAAAACCTTGAATCTTTTAAATAAACCTTCAACAAAGTGTTTCGTATACAATTATTAACCATATTTTTGGTTTTAGATACAATAAGTACTGATATTAATTGAAAATAATTTAAATATAAATAAATATAAATGTGTAATTACTTGCACATGAAATTTTTGGGAACTAGGTTTCATGTAGTACAACATTTGCATATAAACAATGGCTAATTATTTAATTTAATATTTATTATAATAGAGATTTGCTGACAAACCGTTCACTTGTGTACTCCACAAAGACATGACCCCTGAGGTGTTCCAGCGTATTCCGCACCGTTCGAAAGTTGACGATGGTGCCAAACTTCTCCAGCTCCTCGACGGCATCATCAAAGAACTCATCGTAGTCGCTGCGCAGATCCTGCTCGGTCAGTTCCAAGTGCTCCTCCGCGGAGGCGTATTCCTTGTGCGGCGGTTTTTCCTGCAGCATGGAGTGGTTGAAGAAGTGCCGGATGAGTAGGATCCGGGCCAGCATGGGTCGTCGGTGGTTGAAGGTGCAGGCGTGGCCGTAACGGCAGCAATTGGTGCGGCTGAAGAACTCGCAGGGCCGCTCCTCTGGATGGGTTTCCATCACCCGTAGCAGGTGACTGGGCGGCTTCTCGAGACGCGGGTTGTTCAGGTACTCATTCATGCTCTCCATCATGGCATCGAACTCGGCCGCAGCCTTGGCAGACTTCCTGATCTCCTCCTCGCGCTGTTTCCTTTGGATTTCCTGCCGCTCCGCCCGTTCTTTGGCCTGTTCCCGCTGCAAACGCTCCACTTCCTCCTGCTCCTGGCGGCGCTTGGCCTCGTCCATCCGGAACTGTCTCTGGGCGATGGCCTCTCGTCGCAGCCACAACTCCTCCGCATCCTGGAGCTCCCGTTCCTCGGCCAGGCGCTGGAATTCCTCCATTTCCCGCTGTTTTTGCACCCATTTCTGGTACTCCGGCTGCAAAAGTCTCTGGCTTTCCGCCTCCTCCTCCAGTTTATCGCGTTCTTTGGCTTGTTTTTGACGACGCCGCTTCCTCTGATTCTTCTTGGTCAACTTCCTTCTTGCTCTTTATATTATGAACAATTTATTTAAAATTAAAATCATGGATTTCTTAAGATATTTACCTTTTTCCCGGCATTTTTGGAGAATCAAAACATTGGATTTTACGGAGCAGCTGGAACGCAAATATGAGTTCGCAAAAAAAGACCGTGCATGACTTTTCAAAAAATACCACACTTAAAAAACAGGGTGGACCTACAAAGTAAAGCAAATTAGCAAATTTTCTCCATCGGCAAAAAATGCCTGTGAAGGAAAAAAGGCTGTAATAGTTTGCTAAGGCGGGCCGAATAAGAAAATTTTAGACGAGTGTAATAATTTTTCGTCACAAATGTTGATATCAAGACTTTGGTATGTTGAAGGTGCGATCGTCACTAGTTTTTTACCTCGTTAAGAGGTGTTTTTATTTGATATATGTATGATAAGCCGCATATAAAACCAAAGTTCTGTAGCTCGATATTTCAATAGCCTACTCAAGCTGATCTTAAATAAAAGGATAATGTGTAAATTGGCAGTCGTTGTGTTCCTCGTGCTGATTTTTGTGGATCGTATTGGATCTCTGACAGGGACTCCGATTCCTGTGAGACAATCGAAGGTGGAACAGAACCAGATAAAAGTCCAGCTGACTGATCTGGGGGAATCTGTTAAAAACATCTCGGAAAGCTTCAAGGAGCAACTGGAGTGGATAGAAAACCGTCAGGCAGCCGAGGAAAGCCAATTAGAAGCTATCAAGGAAATCGTCAGCAGTGTCGAGACTTCACTAGAACCAAAGACAGTTAAATTGAAGCCTAATACCTTGCCAAACCCCACCGTGGAGAATAACGAGGATGTTATTAATTATGGTAAGCAGAATTTTCTTTAAAAAGTTATGCAATACAATTCAAAAGACAATTTAAAATGTATTTTATACACTTGAATCTCCCAGGATAAAGATTTTAAAGCTTTTCTTTTCTTACAAAGTTTGGCTTAAAGAAGTTGTATTTTGGTTTATCCTATATCCGAACTTTTATACATTTTGACACGTGCTACAGATAACAGTTTATTGTAACGCCAAGTTTGGTGGAATAATATTTATAGCGCCAAGATTGGGAAACAACATTAACAACGCAAAATGTTAGGAATCATAACTATAAACATTATATTATGGCATCGTACTTTATGGCATTTGGTAGGGTGAAAAGCTTCACATTCCGGGCTTTCACCACAATAATTTCCCCTCCTTTTCGAGCTGGGCTTTGTTGCTGCAACATTGTATCCGCAAGTGCCGAAGATGCGAAAAAAAATCAAATTCAGTGATAAAGTAAAATTCGTGCGCGTTGGTTCACTTACACTTCGTGTCCCCAGAGAAAAGCCTTTCTCCTGGCTTTCTCTCGCTCGCTCGCTCTCCGTCTCGCTCTCTCCGGCTAAGCGGGTCTCGCGAACTCTCTATTTTCGCACTCGGATCCGAGTCCGGAATTTGGACTCCGGCTCCGTTTGCCGGATCGCCGTGCTCAACAAATATTTGAAACTGCGAAACTAAGCCAAAACAATTGAAGTGGAATTCTCGCGGCACAATTTGATATTAGATAAATGAAATAATTCACGCCGCTGGCACTTTGAACGTGTAATCAGGTCACAGGAATTTCAACAAGACCATTTTGATAGTAATAATAGAATTTCATAATCGCTGTGGTCCTCGCAATGCGACTAATTGGATTTATACTGAATTTGGCAGCCCTAACAGGTGAGTGACTCCTACACGAGGAAAATGGAGCAAGATATTCATTTTAAATACAAAAGTTAAGACAATATTAATTTTATAACAATTTAAGGCATTAACATTAAACAAATTTATTATTTATAATTTAATTTCATCTTTGTAATTACGAACCAAATATAATATTCTTTTAAATATTTGGTTTCGCAAATATATAAAGTATATATTAAGTGCTTGTAGGTCAATTTCCTATCACTTGATCTATTAATAGGAAAATGATCTTATAAAAGGTCAAAGTCATGACGCCTGAGTTTCCAATTTGTTTTTATAGCGATAGGAAATAAGACCTTTAAATGTTTCATGTTAGTTTGATATTATTAAATAAGTGTAATGACCCCATTTTAGGTTTCAGTGTGACATTCGTTGAGGTAACGCTATGGTTTTTTTTAGTGGGGAACGGGAGGAAATGTCCACCTCTTCCGAGTTACGTTCTGCGTTTTATTTTCGGTCTCATGGACAACGTTTTATTATGTTCTTGGCTCGCCGACGGACAGTTACGAGCTTCAGTTTCATTCATAATGTGGTTGTTGTGGTTCTTCTGCCGTCCGGTCGTCTTCTTCCTCTTCTTGTCGTTACGAATTTATCAATATTTGCTTTCGGTATTTAGTTTTCTAGCTCAAGTGTCTCGTGGCTAATAGAAAATCGATGGTGGCACATTGTTGCACATTTCGCTGGGCTTATAAGTATCTCGAAGATACGAAAGTATCTCGCAGCTCTTCAGCCCTTTTGCATTCGCTTCTTCTTGTTTTTTTGAAGTCGATGTCAGTCAACGATGTTTGCTCTTAGTCTTTCGATCAATTTCCACTGCCTAAAAGCTGTCTGAGGGGGTGTTAAGTCGCTCTTGAATGGCATTTCCATGGCCTGCCACATGCCTCTGATTCTCATTCAGATTCTGATTTTCCATGGGACCATTCGCCATTTGCCATTTGCCATGGTCCTCGTCTCCGGACGACACTTCAATCTGGATGCCCCACATTTATGTGGCGCTGCGTTTTTGGCTCTTCTGCTGCTCGGCTTTCTTTGATTTCCACCCGGCCACTCTTTCACCCCGACTTGTCCTTTTTCTTTTCCTTCTCCTTTTTCCCACTTTGCCTTGGTCCTTGCAAATATTTAATTTAAGCCTGCTGACATCTCTCGCCGGGGGGTATCAACATTTTCTGTCACTTCTTGTTGTCCAAAGAATAATAAATATTTTAAATGATTTAAGTGTCTTCAAGAGATCAATGAAAATTAAAACTTTTGCAATTTTTAAAGTAAAATATTGTGATATTTTTAAAATCTTAAAAATCTTTTTATAAAGAATATAGAATTCTTAAAAATATTTTAATTGGAGTTTATAAAAAAACTTGTTTATAAAATTAAATATAATAATTTCATCTTTCGGTTAAAAAGGGAATCCACATAAGGAATATTTAAATACCCTGATAGAGTGAATCCCAAATTCGCCATATAGAATCCCTTCCTTTTAGTTGTTCTTTCGAGTATATACGCTGCATCTGCAGTTCCTTTTATCCCTGGTAACTGGATCCTTTTGCGCCTGACTCCGTTTATTTCTGTTGCTCTGCCCCACTTGCGGTTTTGTTTAATTACGCATATTACTCCGCCTTTCGCCGCCAGTGTCATCCCATCCCATCTGGATCTGAATCTGATTCCCTGCCATCCAGGCGGCCCACAAGCCGACACATCTCCATATTCCCAGTTGCTGTTTCTGTTGCTGTGGTCACTTACTGACGGGAGGACGAGTGTCTTTGGTCGGATCTCTTGAGGCTTGTCAACGGCAGCGGAGAGCTTCCGGAGACGTTGGATGGAGGAGGGTCGAGTTGTCCTGCGGTTGCCTCGGGCACTTCCGCCCCGGGTTGGGTTTCGGATTGTCAAGTGACCAACTGCCTCGATTTGACCAACTGGCTTTCTGACCAACATCGCTCGCAGCAGCCAACCGATGCCAAATCGGGCCGGTTAATTACTTTGCTAAGTGCTGCTGCTTTCCCATCCCCTTCCCTCTCAGAGAATCCTCCTCTATTTGATCCGTGTCCCTCTCAAATTTATCATATTTACGGAGTAAATTCCACAAATTAAAATCAATATGAAGCCTGCAGCGGAGGCAATCATTAATTATACAAACGGCTGCTGCTAATGAGGTAAAGTGTCGACAGCAACGCCCCGGCTGAAAGAGCGTCCCATTACTTTTGGCCGGCACTGTGCGCCGTCCTCTGCGGGTGGGTGTGCACTTTTAATTGAGGGAAAGGTCAGCGTCGCATCGATTTTAATGCAAAACGAGCCGACAACAAAACAGCGGACACTAGACCTACTCTGGATAAAATGCCGGGGGAATTTATAACAATTATCTAATTTCGCTTGGCCATCTGTAAAGCTGGAAATTTATTATATTTGGCTCTTGGGGCTTGTATATTAAATTAAACGGGTTAAGGTAAAATTTTGCATAAATCAGAGTAAAATATATCAAATATTAATTGCTTCCTGATAATAAATTTTGTTTAATAATGTTATTTACATAAAAATCTTTTTTAAATAAAGCTTGCTTTCAGAGGAAAAATTTACTTTTTATTTATTTATTTAACTATTGGTTTTGGCACTGCACTTCAAGCTAAATAAAAATCTACGTCGAAGTCGCTCTTAATCCAATGTGCAGTGCCACCGGGATAATGGGTGCAGGGGGGTTAAGGGCCGAGGGGTGTTAGTTGTAGGCGTAGATACATGCCCACGCATGGTTCGGTGCTGGCGATTCAATTTAGTTTGCCACTTAACCCCAGAGTGCCCCATGCGGCGGTTTGGGCCGCCACCTTTAACTCTCGCGCTGTCCGGAGGGCGGACTCGCTGCAGAGCATGATAAATTGCCACTTGACTTTGCATATTTGCGCTGTCAACGGGTCGTGAAAAGGGTGATGAAAGAGATGGAGTTTGGGGAGATAAAAACGATACACTGAGAAAAATATAAAAAATGTATGATATGAAAATCAAAAAATATTATGATCGACTGGCTTTGAACTCATTTTCTTTCCGATAATTTAACGTTTAAATAAATCGATTTCCAATAAATATATTTTATTTTATTGAACCCTGGACAGAAAATTAAATTAAAAAATGTATTTCAAAAAATGTTTAAAATCCTAATAATTTAATTTTTAAATTACACAAAATATTAAAATATTTACAAGTACTCACAATGGAAAAGGGAAACAAATCTTCATTTATGTTTTTTTTGGTGTCAGGCGACCCTAATTTTTCCTAGTGCACCTCTCCATCATGGGCTACAAAACGGTCCCAACTCACTTGCTCTCACTTTATTGTTGTCTATTGAATTTGTTCAACTTTTGCCGAGCGTCCGAACTTTGACTTGTGCTGAAGTTTTCCTCTTTCCGTATTCCGTGTGTGTTTGAAGGTGGCGAAGAGATACAAACTCATCAGCCTTGACACCATTTAAGTTTTTGGTAGCCCAGCGGGAAGTCGGAAACGAGCCACTGGGAACCACGAGCCAGGAACTGTCCATTGTTGTGTGGATCGTGTGTTTCATTTAACTGACACTTGCAAAAGTGTCCTGTCATCCTTCCCAGCATCTACAGATCCCCCTCACCAACCCCACCCACTTCCATAACATGTCCCCATTTTCATTTTTCGCCTTCATTTTGCATGCATGATTTTGGCCATCTTCTTTTTTGTGTCACTTGCTGTTCGCCATAAGTATTCGTTTTGTTATTATTTTTTAAATCCGACAAGCACTCCACGTAGAGTGGCTGTCAGGTGGTGTCGAGTCCTGAATTTTAGTGTGCCACTGACACCACGATCCCTGATTTTCCCCCGGTTTTTTATTCGCCGGGGAATCGCGGCGTGAATAATTACAATAGCCAGTTGGCCCCGGGGTCGCAATCGAACTCGATTTGTAAACACCAGAAATGTGTGAGATCTGATTCAAATTCTGTGATTTTTCAAATGGTTTCTGGGCAGTAGATTAAAGTTAATTGGGGTTTAAATGGAAGCAACAATTGCAGAGAGTTGTTGGGGATTAAATAAGCAATTAACTAGGGCTTTGGAAACTTATATTTTTTCTAATGGTTACATTTTTAAGTGACAAAACAAATAAATGCCAAGCGGGTGTCATAAATTTCTACGAATTTTTATCTATTCAAACATTTTTGAAGTAGTAAAAATAAAGACACATTAAAAAGAACAGGTTTCCAGCTTTTTAGCTTTCAGAAAATCAATTTAGTCTGCAGTTATAAAAATACCAGAGTAACCGCCACAATTTGTGCAGACATTCGTTATTTAACTGGCACTGGGACTGGAATTCTGGGGCTGACAAATTCGAGTGCATCACACCGAGAACGTCGAGCACTTTGACATTCCAACAAATTGCTGTGGCAATTACAACGCACCGAGTCAAACGGACAGAAATCATTGCACTTGCCACAGACAAAAAATACAAATACTATTGAGAGAACGACGGATAAATAAATGTATGACATTGTTGTGCGTTCAATTTGGATGGTGTCTCGCTGCTTTGTTTATGATTTAATCAATTGCTCATTAATTAAATGCCTTTCAGGCTTTGTGCTTCTCTTTTTTCCCTTCTCAGAAAGCCACAGGAGGGGCGATGATGATGTTTCAATTTATCATCAATTAACCTCTGACCCCGCTGGCAGGCAGCGTTGAACAATAGATATGATATGAAAGGCAGTCAGTCAAGGGGGTTGTAAGGGGGTTGTAAGCAGAAAGACAAAAAATAGTTGGGCGCAACTGGGAGACCATTCGATGCAGACATTGTGCAACTGGGGGCGTGGCCCACTGTGATATAATTTAATTAAATGGCTGAAAGATATGGGCTTTAAGCTACCTATAAAACACATGCCGATTTACAGGCGAGTTTAATTGATGTTTATGCATGGCCCCATTGAAATGAATTGCCCAAACACACACAACGCAGTAAAAAGTATTGGCAAAAAATCGTTAAT